TATGTGAGGTAATACATGTGTTAATTAGCTCAGCTTAGCCATTCCACAATGTGTACATATTTCTACCTTTTCTTTTTATTGTGCTTTCTGTTATCATGACTTTGCTTCAGGACCGCCTCTGGGACACATAATGGCTTCATCCTGAACAAGGTCCTAATTGCCCGGCCATGCTCCCTCCCCTGTCACTGTCTCCTGCTCTACAGGAGCTGTCTCCAAGGGCCATGCATAGTATAGAGTTTATTCATGTCAGAATTCCTTGTGTTAGCAATAGCAAAGGTCCTCACACATCAGTGACAGAGGGTGGAAACCGTTTACTTTGTCAAATGTAGTTAGGAAAGGAAGAGGCATTCCAGAGTAAAGAGTGAAAGCAGATTAGGAGAAAATCAGTAAAAACTGAGGGAAAAGTAAACTGCGGTGAACTGTAGGCAAAGAGAAAGGAAACTGCAGCACCAGTGGAGCAGGTGTGGACATGAGGGACCAGACCAAAAACACACTGATCCACTCCCTGCTCCGTGTTACCTGAATTCTAAACACTGAGTCTTGAGATTCAAAGGTAACCTTTTCGGAGGACAGAAAGACAAAGTGCAAACTGGTCCGGTATGAAGTGTGGGATGGGGGATGCCTCCATTGTGTGGAGGAACCTTAGGTTGGCAGGTCCCACACTGCCTTGGCTATGGTCGGCCGCATTAATCATCTTCCCAACACAGTTGCTTCAGTCCTGACTCCAGGCTCTTTCATTCTCCTTAACCTCTGGATGAGTCTCCCTCAGCATGAGCTCTCTTGCCACAAACGAAATTGTCTCTTCCATTCTGTTTTAATTTTCCACCTCGATTTATCTCTCGTTCCTAATACTGTCCATTGATCCTCCCCTCCAGCATTAGGAAGAAGATTAAAAAACAAACAAAAAAACCCAAAACACAACAAAAAAATGCCAATCCTTTGCTTGCCTTTCAAAAGCACTATTGATCTAGCAAAAAAAAAAAACAAAAAAACTAAGAGTTATTTCCTAGGATTTACCAACTAATACATACTTTTCTAGTAGGGTCAGGGGTCTTCTCACCATCCCCAGCACACCCAGGGACTGGGTCTTTGAAATGACGGTTCCTGTACCTGAAATGCTCTATCTACATATTATTAACTTTTCAAGTCCCTGTTATCTCACTTCCTTATGCTGCCTCTTTTTACATCTTAAGTCTATTCTAAGCTTATCCTTCTCTGATTAGTATCACAACATTCAGAAATTGCTTACTAATCGTTGATAACTATTTGCCTGTCTTCCCCAACTCAGCAACAAGTTTCAAAGCAGGGACAAAATCTCACAAATCTTTGAATGCCCACACTGGCAGACTGATTAGAGTAATAGAATGATTCTGTTCGATTCTCTCAAACCTGGATAAAGCCTCATTATTTACTATATTCCTGGAGCACAATTCCTGTCTTCCAAAGTCCCTCTGCTTCACAACCCCAAACCTGACACAGCTAAAAGAGGAAAATTTATTTTATAATCACAAAAAAAGAAGTTTTTTATAAATGCATTATTAGAAACATTGTAAGGGAATAGTTCTTCTTTAATCAACTGTCATGTTGAATTATTTTCATATAGCCTTACTCCTCCTCTATTATTTAATAAAAATGTATATATCATCAGTTTCCTTGTTCTGAACAACAGTTGTTCTAAACATCAATTTATGACCTCACAAATTGATTTGTATTTAGGATTTGTATTTTGACTTCTGATTTGCGGTGATGTCATGCTATCCACCTTAATATCAAAATTATGTTTCTAGATATAAGTACTATTGAGGATTTTTTGGTTAGTCACCACATTTTATTTTTTTTGCATTTTAAGACTAACTTTAATCTCAAAATCACATATCTATAAACCTATTTCCTTTTTGCTGACTTCACTTAAACTTAAATGCATGGTTTGTTAAGCAAAGAGTATAAACAAATATCTACCATGCCTGTTACATGTAACACACAGGGACAGCTTTTAACAGAAACTCATCGACCCCCCAACATTTTTAATTCTAAATACAGGTATCAAAACAATGCTGAATATATTTTTGATACTACTAGTAGTCAGCACCTACACTGCTCCAAAATTAACACAAATTGTGACAATATTCATTGTACCTGCTTACTTTAAACAATTTCAACTGCAACTCTTTCACTAAGCAAGATGGACAAAGCATGCCGTTTCTGTTTTTCCTTCTTGAGATTTTTACTTTTGAGAAACACACTTGCTTCCCCTGCCCTCTGACACTTCTCTTCAGTCTTTCGTCTTATAAACCTGAATTCTATTTTGAATATTCCAGGTTTATGTTTACATGACAGTGCCTTAACAAGAGAAAAAAACAATTGTGCTGCATTTTTCCTCCTATTATGTGAACACATAATGGGTGTACATATATTAAGTAACTTCTTATAAATGTCCAGGTCATGTTTACCAGCTGGAATTCTTTTACTTAATGTGTGGATATTTTGCATTGCGATATTTAATCAAGACATTAACATGAGTGAGTAAAAGGTTGTTGATTTAAGACAAGCTTGAGATCCACTAAAATTAATTATTGTATGTTTGTCCTTCTGGTGGCTATAGAAGCTTCATATTTTCTTTGGACATTGTTAGATGTCTCTTAGCTCTTGAAGTACAACTTTAATGCTATATGAATTTTGTCATTTTTCTAACACTGGGTATGCTCCGTGCATCCATCATCCCACTGGAATTATTTATTCTATTCATACTAATTTTTGTTATAAATCTAACTGGTGGAGGAGCTTCTGGGTATTTAGGTCTACATTCTAATTTCAGGCTGTATGTTCTGTTTTCATAATTTGTCCTTGGTGGCCCAATAATCATGCCTGACCACTTTGTAAGTGTCATTGTCATATCTTCATCATCTTTAAGGCCTCAGCTAACAGTACTACTCTTTTTTGTCCTTCAAGTTCTTCCAATACGTGAAAATTACAAGGAACTTTAACTCCTGTGGAGACGGCCATCTTCTTCTGCAGCTTGACGCAGCCCTGTCACATTTTAAAATATTATATCTGACCTTCTCTTTTCCAATCAATTAAGAAAATATATGTCGGGGTAATCGATTATGGCAATAAGAAATAATGCAAGAGATTCTTATTCTTTTTTTAAACCTAGAACATTTGCAAAAACAGGAATGCTGGTGATTCATTTCCTGCAAAACACTGCATTTCTTGTCCATGTTGAAGTCAAGCAGAGCACCAAGTAATTATCTGATTATGTAGTCCCTTGGTCACATGTATCAAAGTTTCCAACTTCACGTGAGAATTGAATATTCGTATGTGGTAACATTTCAATTTTCCAACTGAATTCTGCCTATGGAGATCTAAGTCATAAATCAATCCAGGTTGGGAAAGAAAATCTAGTTTTAATATATTTTTTTAAATAATAAGAGTTCACATGTTTGTACCCACTGTCAACACTGGGAGCTTTAGTTTCTATTAAGCCTCAAAGAGAGAACTCTTTGAGGCTTATACAATTTTGAGAGGATAAATGTTACTCATTTACAATACTTCAGTTTTTATTCTTTCTGATGAACATTTTGGTTTTCTTACGTATAGCAACAATTTAGTTTTGGCCAGGCATGGTGGGTCACACTTGTAATCCTAGCACTCTGGGAGACTGAGGTGGGAGGATAGTTTGAGCTCAGGAGTTCAAGACCAGCCTCAGCATAAGCGAGACCCCATCTCTACGAAAAATAGAAAAATTAGCCAGGTGTGGTGACGCATGTCTGTAATCCCAGCTACTCAGGAGGCTGAGGCAGGAGGATTGCTTCAACCCAGGAATTTCAGGGCTAGGCTGATGCCACAGCACTCACCTGGGCAACAGAGTAAGACTCTGTCTCAAAAAAAAAAAAAAACCAATTTAGTTTAATACTATGATTGTCAACTTTGGAGTTCCTTTAAAAAAAGTTGTTCTACTCCTAGAAGATAAAGAAATATATGAAACTGTATTTTGAAAAATTACCCTAAAAGAAAGAAAAGATTAGGTTGAGTATTACCAAGAAGTTCAGGATTCACATTTCAGTTTCCTTGGCAAGTCATAAAAATGGTAAGCAAAAGATAGGCAACGAATAGAACAGAATTTAGTAAAATTAATTATGATGAACTATAAAAATAAATTATTTTATTGGGTAAAATGCTTAAACCTTTTTTTTTGTTTGTTTTGTTACCAGCAAATATTTTGTTTTCAATAGCTGCATCTGATTAAACTTCTAAGCATGATGGTGGACATTTCTGGCAATCTAACTTAAACAACAAGAAAAAAAAAATCTCATTTGGCTACGTGGTGTTGAGAGACTCAGCACCATCGAGGAGTTGAGAAAGCATTTTCCCATGATATCTAGACTATTTCTAATTTAATAATAATATCAAATGGAGATTTGCCTTTTAAAGTCATGATTGTAACAGATTTTAGGCTGGAATTACTTAATTCATTCTTTCATTTATAGCTGTATTCTGGGATCCTTAACTGTGTTAAAGCACTATGTCCCACTATTCTCTCAGAAAGAAGGAGTGATTACCAGAAACAACAGAATTTCACATTTTCTTTTGACCACATCTACTCTTGCTACATCATTTATATTCTGCTATGATATTTATGACAATGTTTGAAGAAATGTGTGAAACTCACTCAATGAAGTAGACTTCACCCTTCTCTGTATAGGCCATTTCCCAGTTATCAGGCAGTGGGTCTGATTCCTCACTGTCTTCAGGTTTAGTTGGCTTTGTGTCATCCATCTGCTCCTTCAACTCCTCGGGCTGAATGTACACTGGTGCAGGATAAGGCTGGGAGGGTGTCTCCCCTGAGGCACCTGCACTCTTATCTTCATGTTCACTGGATTCTATAAAAGAACAAGAGCATGTGGTTAGTCACTTCCAGCCAGGGTAACTCTGAAATGAATGTGGAGTATGCTGCGTCAGGGAATAAGCTCTACGAAGGCTAACAGGAAATATTATTTTAAAAGCATAATTGCAAACATCTCTGAAAATTATCACCAGGCCTATTTGAGTTCTCCTTTCACTCAACATTCTTGTCTATCCTTCAACTAATTATTGTTGTTTACTGAATTGGAGATTTAAAGGATAAAACATAAGGACCATTTCACAATATAGGTGTGGTAAACAGAGTAATGGGTCCTAAAAATGTTCATGCCCTAATGCCTGGAACATGTGTGTTATCTTACACGGCAAAAGAAGATTTAAAGATGTGATAAAGAAGGACTTTGAGATGGAAGAATTATCTTCGATTATCCAAGTGGGCTTACCTGGAGGAGTATGATTAAATGTAATCATGAAGGTTCTTAAAAGTAGAAAAGGTAGGCAGAAAAGGAGGGTGAGAGGGAGATGTGACTACTAAAGAATGGCCCACAAGATATAAAATTGCTGGCTTTGAATATGGAAAAAGGGGACCATAAGCCTAGGAATGTGGGTGGCCCCTAGAAGCTAGAAAGGTCAAGGAAATTGATTCTTCCCTAGAGACTCCAGAAAGAAGTCTCTCAACACCATGATTTTAGCTATTGAGACCCATGTCAAACTCGTAACCTACAGAACTATAAAATAATACATTTGCACTGTTTTATGCCACTAAGTTTGTGGCAATTTGATATAGCAATAAAGAACTAACACAGTAGTCTCCCCCCTTACCTTGGTTTTACATCTGTGGTTTCAGTTACCCATGGTCAACTGTGGTCCAAAAATAGGTGATTACAGTACAATAAGATATTTTGAGAGAGGGAGTCAGTGAGTGAGCACATTCACATAACTTTCAGTATAGGGTATTGTTATAATTGTGTTACTTTATTATTCATTATTGTTAATCTCTTAATGTGATTTATAAATTAAATGTTATCATAGGTATGTATGTATACCATACATAGGATTTGGTTCTATCCAAGGTTTCGGGCATCCACTGGAGGTCTTGCAGCATATCCCCCATGGATAAAGGGGGCTAATGTACAACAGAGCAAAAACTACCTTAAGAGAAATGGTAACAGGCTTGGAGGATAGATCCAAGAGTTACAGCATACAAATAGTATGAGTTCCAGAATGAGAAAAAAGAACACATGGGGAAGAACTAGTAAGTCAATAAATGACAGAAGAAAATTTACTTAAGATGATAAAACACTTGAGTCTGCAGATTGAAATGATTCACTGAATCTGAGGCCAGATTAATAAAACATACAGACCCCTGGACATATCTAGCTGAAATTTCCAAACTATAATGTTAAAAAGCAACTTTATCAGCTTCCACACTGAAGAAACATGTACTTACAAAGAAAAGAGGACCAGAAGAGCATAAGATCTTTCATTTGTAATACTCTAAGCTCAAAGACAAAAGGGAAGTATCTATAGTAACTTGAGGGGAGAAAAGTACAGCAATTCAAGAACTTAACTCTGCCAAGATATCATTCATCTGTCTGGGCAAAGAAAGTCACTTTCAAACATGCAAAAGTTCTGAAGGTATACTACCTACACATCTTGTCGAGGACAACATGTGAAAAATTATTCTAACCATATCATGATGACTAAATCAGAGAAGAGATCTCAAAATGGGGGGAGAAAATAAATGGTAAGAAGAAATAAATTCTGTATTATATAGTTAAATATAAATGGAGGATTACCATATTTCTGAAAATTTGTAATATGTGTTAAAGACAGATTCTTGAAAGAGAAGAAAAGGATATGTAAAAACCTAATAATGGCATGGGTTTTAAACCTTTATCTTAGGAGAGCTCAGGTTTTGGAGGGTGGAGAAAAGGCAGGAAAATGAAGACATTCTCAAGGTCACACCAGGAGGCATATGAGAGAGTGACTACATGAGATAATTTTAAAGGCTACCTTCTCATGGGATTATTGGACAAATATTTCGGTCAAGGTATAGGTTTGATTATATAATGGGAATCTTTTTGAAATATCCTCTTATATATTTTTATCTAAGCTATTCAGGAATTTTCCCCCATTTAGCTTTTCTGCCATTAAATGCATGAGTCTTATTTGTCAGTGAAGAATACAGCAGGTACCACCTAGGAAGAGAAACATCCTTAGGATAAATAAGAAGAAAGAGATAATAGAGAAGTTTCTACAATGGGGCGGTTTAACCCAGAAACTGGAAGGAGAGCACTACTGAGATACTTTGGGGTTGAAATATAGTGAGAGACAAGATCAGGATAAGGCAGCCATCCTTGAAATATGAAATACTACAATCTTTTAAGAACATAATGGCTATTAAAATTAAAACAATACATATACACATACACTTCAACTCAATGATCCTGGTTTGAGAATATATCCTCTAGTAATAAATGCATTATTATGTAAAGAAACCTATAGAATAATATTTATTGCAGTATTGTTTGTAGTAGCAAAACCCTGTAAATGATATGAATGCTAAACAACGAAAATATTATTAAATAGTGTTTATCATTACCAATGGAAAACTATTTAGTTTGAAAAAAAATGAACTAGACCTTAAAAGGTGATTATAATTATTTAAAGAGTAATCCAAGTTGCAGAATAATGTATATTGTTAATCTTATTCTTCCAAATGAGCAAACACCAAGGTCTCTTAGCCATATGCATATAATTTTGTATATATCTATATAAGAATGAAAACAGTCTACAAGGGTGAACAACAGGTTGTCAACTTTGATTACCTCAGAACAGTAAGTTTGGATGGGGATAGAAGCTTTCTTTATGCAGTTTTGCATTCATTGGTTACCTATTATTTTTATTTATTTATCTATTTTGTTTAATAGAGACGGGGTCTCGCCCTCGCTCAGGCTGGTCTCCAATGCCTGAGCTCAAGCAATCCTCCCGCCTCAGCCTCCCGGAGTGCTAGGATTACAGGTGTGAACCACTGCGCCTGGCCAATTTTTATAACTTCAAAAATTAATAAAGAAGATTTAAATGAGTAAATTAAAGTGGAATATCATCTTTGTCTCAATATTGATTGCTTGAATCAATTTTCCCCTGTCTGTATCAGTCTAGGAGAGCAATATTAAAGTATCTATTAGGAATTAGAAAATACAGGAACACTTTATAAGTTTTCACTGTTTTGCCCTTCAAAAGAGTAAATGATGAAAATAACACGGCTCTTAATGATGTAGTCTCCCAGCTGACTCCTCATGCAGATTTGACCTTTGTAAATGGTACAGGAAAGAAGAAGCAAGAAGAGGTACCATTGCTCTCTTCAGATTTTCTTTGGTGTAGATTATTATAACATGTAATTACCAATACATGGAAATGGAACACAGTGTGTATGTACATGGAACATACCAAATGTTACGTTGCATTGAAAAGTTAAAATGCAAGGTTTTGCTCTCAACATATTCCTTTATTCAATATTCACTTAATCAACATTTATTAAGCACTCAATTGGTGCTAGGTACTGAGGACAGAAGAGTGAACAAGAGAGACAATGATCCTTGCTCTCACGGAATTCAAAATGTTAAGATATGTATGTAGTCTTTACACAAATAATTCTAAGTGTGATGAGTGCTACCAAAAGGGCAAGATGGGATCTCACACATACACATTCATCTAATCTCATATGAAGAGTCAAGGTAAACCTCCTTTTCAATGTGCTATAAAATCTGAGACTTCTTTCAGAAGAAGTAAGGGAGAAAGAAATAAACAAGGGCTGGATTAGGCAAGGCTTTATAAGGCATACTCAGGATTTGGGAGTGCATCCTGAGAGCAATGAAAAGGTACTGATAAGTCTTACTCAAGGGGATGACCAAATTAGATTTTCATTTTCCATAAAGATCCCCTTAACTATTCTGGGGATTTGAGGGTGGCAAGAGTAGATTATTACAGACCATTGGGAAGCTATTTTTGTGCTCCAGACAAGAGATAGTAATGACATAGGGATGGAAAGAAGATGGACAAAGTATTTAGAGGGTAGATTTTATATGTTTTTCACAAAAACTAGACAGATATGGAAAAAGGAGAAGTCATGGTAAACCTGACATGGTGGGTGGCAAAGCTCTTCACTGAGACAGGAGGAGGAGGACTCTGTGGGGCAGGGGAGGCTGTGAGTATGGTCTTGGGCACACTTAGTCAGAGGTCCATGCCAAACTTACAATGGAGATGTCAGCTCAAAGAGTTCCTGGCTGGAGAAAACCAACTTGAATGACTACAGCATATGGCTAGACTGTATTATAATTTCAGCTGTGAGTAAATGAAACTGCCAAGAGAGACAGTGTGAGAAGTGGAGACAAAATCCCTAGAGCAGCTGTCTGAGGCACTCCAACACGTAACAGTCACTGAGAGAACGAACTGGTGAAAGGAAAGGAGGAAAGAGTAGGCATGGAAGTAACAGGAAACTCAGTAGACCTACATGTCACAAAAGCCAAGCAAAGGGCCAAGAGGAGGAGACATTTAACTGTGGTCAAAGCTTCTGAAAAGTCCAGCAATGTAAGGACATAAAATCTATTAAAATTAATGACATGGCAGTCACTGGTGACATCAGCTGCCAGTTACAGTAGTATCTATGGTGGAGTGATGGGTGGTGAAGCCATATTGGAATAGGTTAAAGGATGAATGAAAAGAAAATATCGAATATCCTGATGGAGAATTCATCCAAGAAGCTTAGCTATGAATAAATAAATTTTTTACCCCCTCTGTATGATTAAATTCTCAAGAGAAATATAAGAGACCTCTTGAAAAAAAAATCTAGAGTCTTTGGAGAAGTCTGTAATCGGACACATTGATGTGTCAGAGATTCCTGAGCAAAGTTCTCCCAGTTTATCTAACTTATTTGTTTATATATTCATTTCTTTATTCTTAATTGATCAATGATTACATTAGCAAACATTAATTTAATACCTATAAAGTGCAAGAT